TTTCGTATCCCTACAGGAAAGCCCCAGGATCCATGTGTTGTTTGTCGTGTCCGTAGGTTTGTCTTATCGATCCTGTTTTGCATGTTGTGTGAGTCTCCTTTATTTGCTTTTATAGAGAGAGAGAGAGAGAGAGAGAGAGAGAGAGAAATGGGGTTTAACGTCCACTCGACACAAACTAGGTCATTTCGGGACTAACATATGTTTTTTAAATTTTATTTCAACAATTCGCTTGCGCGTAGGGGTCTTTAGCAGTGGGAGGAAACCGGAGGACCCGGAGAAAACCCACGAGGTTGGACAGGCGACCCACTCCTTGTCACGTACAACCGGGGATTCGAAACCCCGTCAGTTGACTCAATGACAGGCCGTATGATACAGCACGCACGTGCTAACCATTCGGCCCCCCCCTTGCTTTTAGAGGAATTTAATGATATTCGAATGAAATCACACAAATATGAATATCGTATAGAAATTGGACCCCATTTTGGAAATAAGCAACGGATGTTATATACGTCAGGCTTTATGGGCTATCCTAAGTAAGGGTCTCCTCATGACACCATACAGCTCACCAAATATTCCTGGGCCGTCACCCACGAAACAAGGGCCAGAGTTATTTTTAGTCCTTCCCTCCCTCTCTCTTTTTCACCCTTTTGCATGGCGATCTTTGTTGACGTTTTGGTGTAGAATTAAAGAAAAGGGTTTGAATATACATATCTGCCAGGTTTTGGTGAATATTCATGATTTTGGGGCGGAAGGATACAATTTAAGAGTTGAGAGGTTGGTTAGAATGAAATGTAGGGCGGAAAATTGCATGTTTACTTGTCTCTACTTCCAGCTTGTGTAGAATATTTTTTAAAGTTTCAGTCTTCTGTAAACACTGTTTTGGCATATTTTACGCGGTTAAATTAAAAATTCACACCAATACAATGTTTATCATGTTTAAAGTAGATAAGTCTCTAACTCAATATCATCCAAAATCTTCGACATTGAAAACACGATTTATTTGTCGGTTTGAATCAACTTTGATGTTGTGATCTTACCGGGAAAAGATGGCCTTCTGATATCCAATATTTAAGACAAAATAAACATTTTACCATTGATATAATGCGTTTCAGCGCTCTTTGTACTAAGGGACTGACTCGTAAAACGAGGCTAGGCATATTCCACAAGTAATGTCAAACGGTGACGCTATATTCTTATCTGGAGAGCATGCCCAATAAATTCGATTGAGAATACTGGCGTGTGTCGCCGAACCTAAATGATGAGAAATTACAGTAAAAACAGAAACGATTGAATGTAAATTAATTTATATACATTCATATTACATTATTGTATACGTTGCGACCCATTTGTGTCATTAGAGACTTTTGGCAAGCGTAAATTCCTCGTCCGTATTGCGTATCCGTAGCGATTTTGCGTGTGACGTCATCAATGCGTGTGTATTTCTCATACGCGATACGGCACACGGATACGGCAGCACGTATCGAACAGTTTTCATACGGAAAAGGTCCGTATAACATCGTCGTCTTTTTATCGTATTTTTTGCTACTTTTAGACGCTGAAATGTTGTGCCGTAGCGTTTTATGAATCTATGTGTATCCTAGAACACGAAGGTGTATATTTGATGTGATTTTAACCATGGCAAAGACTAGAATTTAATCATTACTTTTGATGACCTTTTCGCAGAATTTTCATATTTTTCCTGTCTGTCTGCATGCTGGTTGATCTACGCGCTAAATTTAGGGAGGTGGGACCTTGCAAATCTGTAAAAGGGGTATATTGTTTAAAGCTGAAATAGCTGATTTTTAAGTTATATTTTTAAAATTGATTAAAATAAAGCCTGAAAATAGATGGTATCCATAAACAGTCCTACCTTGTTAAAGAATAATCCTATTAATCCTATAATTCACTATTGCCAGCTGAGAAATTGGCAAAAATATCATTTTCCTCTTCATTTTCAAACGTTTGAATATCGCTACTCCATGGTGGAGAATAGAAAACAAGGGAGGTAATTGGGAGGTAATTGTGTTATTATTTCCTGTCTAAATGAATCTTAAGTGTGAGAATGACACCTATGATCGTATAATTGTGAGTTGACAACCTATTGAGCAAAAGACATAGAAATAATTACGTTTTGACTTTCTTAGAAAATTTGCAATTTCCGCTTTAATAAGATTCGACATTAATTTTTTTTTTAAATAACTCAGCGACTGTCGAACGACTTCACTCCCTTCAGGAATTTGTAGGCTACGTACTTGACTAGTACGGATGTTGATCTTGGTAGATAACTGCCATCATGCTGTAATAGAACTGATCTCAGATCAGCTACCCACACGTAGACGGCGCGAAAATCTGCCAAAACTCTAAAACTAAATTAACGCAACGTATCACGTGACGATACGGATACGTTATACGGATGGGGAAAATTCCACTTGCCAAAAGTCTCTAATTTCTAAGTCCCAAATATTAGCGACTTAGTTCCTTTAAGTCATGAAGACGGGCATACGCCATACAGTGTGCTATGAAGGAAATTTTGCCCGGACAGCAGCAGTACGGCCTACTCTTATATCGAATTCCAACTGTCAAGGGATCTTTTACGTGCACGCCAATGTGTACACGGGACCTCGGTTTTTTGTCCCATCCGAACGACTAGACAGCTGTCCTTGTCAGGGCCTTCGTCCTCCATCACTGACAAGGAGGAACCACGCCGGAAAATCTGGATGAACTTTCTCGGCCAATGCAGGGATCGAACACCCTACCTCCAGGCTAGCGAGCCAGCGTCTTACCCACTTAGCCACGTGATCCCCCTGTATTGATATGATATACTAGATTTAATATTTTCAACAACATCATTAATATATGAATAAGGAAAACAAAGGAATAGGGACAAAAATGATCTCGATGTCAGAGGCTTTACTAAAATCGCGATATACTCACCGCCTGTCTGAGAGGGAGAGAGAGAGAGAGAGAGGGGGGGGGGGAGCGGGGGTACCGTCCACTCGAAACAAATTAGGTCATTTCGGGACTAACACATGGTTCAATTTTATTTCAATAATTCGCTTCCGCGTAGGGGTGATAAGCAGTAGGAGGAAACCCACGAGGTTGGAAGGCGACCCTACACCTTGTCACATACAACCGGGGAATCGAACCGGAACATTATGACAACATGAGCGGAAATCAACCTGGCATACAATAAGTCACCATACAATTATTAGGGAATCGAGCAAGCATATATAATAGAGAGAGAGAGATGGGGTTTAACGTCCACTCGACACAAACTAGGTCATTTCGGGACTAACATATGGTTTAATTTTATTTACATAATTCGCTTGCGCGTAGGGGTCTTTAGCAGTGGGAGGAAACCGGAGGACCCGGAGAAAACCCACGAGGTTGGACATACGACCCTACAACCGGAGACTCAATGATAGACCTTATGATTTAGTGCGCACGCGCTAACCATCCGGCCATCCAACCCCCCGTTTTAACTAATGCAGTTGTTTTAGTGTCTTTGTGAATGAATGATTTATGTTTTAACCAATGACGTTGTTTTAATATGAATAGTAACCACGTGTTTTAGTGACTTTGTACATGAATACCTTGTGTAATATTATTCAGTGTATTTGATGACCTTTTCATGGAATTATAAATATGTATATATCCGTGTGTAAGTTATATTTACACACACAGAAGGCATTCAGTGATAATCCAAGCACTATGCAGGCAACGCTCAATTATCACCCAAAGGACTGAAACCAAGGGAGTCAAGCTTCGAATGACTCGTTAAATTGGTTCACAAAATACAGCTGGTTCGGCGTTGATAAACTTTACTACGGATATCAAAGTAAGCAATTGATGCCTTATTTTTTGACCTGTACATTCGGATCGTTCAGTCTGTCATCTTTTAAGGTGTCCATTCGGAACTTTCAGTTCGCCCATTCGGGTCTGTCCATTCGAATCTTCAATCTGCCCATTCGAATCTTTCAGTCTGTCCTTTCGGATCTTTTCGTCTGTCCATTTGGATCTTTCAGTCTGTCCTTTCGGAGTTTTTCATCTTTCCACTTGGATCTTTCAGTCTGTCCATTCGGATCTTTTGGTCTGTCCATTTGGATCTTTCAGCCTGTCCATACGATTGTTTCAATCCGCCATTTGGATTTTTTAGTCTGTCCATTAAACCGACACACATAACTAGGTACGCTTAAAACGCAAGCTCACGATGGCGTAGCAGTCGCAGAGTAGTAGGTGGACTTTCAGCCTTATATATATCGTTATACCGTATTTTCTGTTATAATCCTACCTAGAAAATTATACCGGACTTTGATTTGTATACAAATAATGAAATATGATAGCGTATCATCAAGGAGCCTAGCTATATACATAATATTGAGAGAGAGAGAGAGAGAGAGAGAATGAGGGAGAGAGAGAGAGAGATCAATTTTGGGATTAACATTAATTTTGATCTAATTTAATAAAGCGCTCTTTGGCCGTGGGGAGAAACTGGAGGACATGGAGAAAGCTCACAAGGTTGGACAGATGACCCAACCCCTTGTCACGTACAAGCGGTGAATCGAACCCACTCTACTTGTACGTGGGCCCCCCGCCCCCTCGCCACCTCTACCCCCTTCTCATCTATAGAGTACAATAAAGGAAATGGGGTTTGACGTTTTACTGTTTTGCTCCGACTAGGCTAATGAAGTAGGCACATGTTCGGACAGGGGCGCTTCGGCCTACTGTTGTTATATTGAACTCAAACTGCCAAGGGTGTATTTTTACATCGACGCCAATGGTTTGGTTTTTCGTACTATCCGAACGACTAGACAGCTGTCACAGAGTACGATAAGAGATTCACCTATCTATAGTATAGAATATATAGGTTACTAACCACACAACACTCACTTGTGAATAATACAACTGTTTGTAAACATACAGGACGGGGCGCGCTAATATAAAAACGCATAGTCATTATACAGTATAGTATTTAGTCCACGTGGGCGTTCACCACGGTACATAGTCCAAGTGGGCCTTTAACATTCTAATAATCTTGAACGTTTTCTTGGACATCACGGACGTGTTTACGAAGATCTTGGTCAGGACACGACAGATAGAAGATCATAGTCAGTTAATCTAGACACAGGGAAATAATTGTTTGGTCATTCAGCATGCCACCCAAGTACAAATATCACTGGTTTAAGGATCTCCGTGCTCGTGGGGAGTTTCCCAGATTGGTGTTTGTAGCTGCTGGGGTTGATTATGAAGATGTTCTAGTGGGACGACATGGACCAGAGTGGGACGCCAAGAAACCAAGTAAGTAATACCCACGTCAGACCGGGGTGGCGTCCTTACTTCGCTGCTACGGCGATGGAAATGGTTTAAGAGCGCGTTAAGATCGCCATAAACGTGGTGGAAACGCCAACTATCGTGCAGTGGTCACCAATGATCGCCGGGTCTAAACTGGAAAGCTATGAGAATACGACTCTTTTTCAAGTTTGTAATTTTTTGGGACATTTTCGCGCGTTGTGTTCACGTTTGCCGGCGACCTTGTGCATTTTCTGGTCGCCGTACGGTCGCAGTAAGGACGCTACCCCGGTCTGACGGGGGCTTAACGAGTGTTGATGATGTCTCGTGTAGGTTTACCAACGTTCTATTCGTGTGTTTAGGGCGGGATATGAAATGAAATAAATGGGGTTTAACGTTCTACTTTTCTGCCCCGACTGGGGTATTAAAGACAGGCATACGCCATACAGTGTGCTATGAGCGAAATGAAATGGGGTTTGACGCCCTACTCTTCTGCCCCGACTGGGAAAATAAAGACAGACATATGTCATACAGTGGGCTATGAGCGAAATTTTGCCTGGACAAAGACACTACCGCCTATTCTTATATCGAATTCTGTCATGGGTTCTTTTACGTGCAAGCCACGTTTTTAGTTATATCCGAAAAAACCAGACACTGTCCTTAGAAGGCCCTCCTTCCTGCACTACTTACAAGCCCCCCCCCCACCAACCTATCTGGATTTCTGACAGAAAAATTTCCATTATTAATCATTATTTTAGAAGCGGATTCTTGTCTAAGATCATTGGCATTTCCGGACTTCTAGTTTTCGATATTTACCGGGGATGGCCACCCGGACCCCCTGTTGTGCGTTGTGTGCGCTTGGTCTCTTGATCCACCCTTGTTATCCCACATTGCATATGCACACGTGGTCATATAACAGTATGTTAACATCCACTCCTTTCATTTGTTATCTTGTTGAATTAAATGTTTCAGTTATACCTAGGGTATTATCGAAGTTTGATTCAGTCACGGTGTATTAAATCATCATTACTTGTTCAGGTTTACCCTTCAAAATGACATTTCTAATCTTTTGTACAATGTTTATACCACTGTAACACTAGGTGTGTATTTCTATAGAGTCGTGTAGAGAGTAAAAATGATTAGTTGACATATTGAATTGTTAACTTGATTCATTGACATAGTTGTATATATATATATATTGTAAAAGAGGGTAAATTCATTGACTGCAGGCTATAACGTTGTTGGTCGACATGAAATTAAATTGAACCAACGTCTTGCTCACCCAGCCACCGTGGCACTCTGTTGGTCGACAGATTTCAGATAATATTTTACTAGAAATCGAAAATCGAAAATGAAAATAGTACATTTTAAATTTTATTAGATTTATATGCCGCTTTTGACACGATGTGTCCTTCTATCCTTTTACGCATACTTTATTTTAAATTCGGTATTAGCGGCTATGCACTGAATGTATTTTAGTTAATTGTAAATCTTCGACTGAATCCTTTTTATCATCTGGTGTTCGTCAGGGTTCTGTTCTTTGTCTTATTTTATTTACACATTATACGTCACGATTAGGCACTGTTCACGTCACCATCCCAGCTTTCATTTATATGCAGATGATACCTCATTATATATTTCTTTTACACCAGATTGTCCATTTTCGTTCAATTTATCAAAACTGCAACTGAGAACTGCATTAGCGTACTTGGGAAATGGATGTCAAAGAATATCCTAAAATTGACTGATGATAAATCTGAATATTTTTAATTTAAGTCAGTATGTACGCATGATAACCTCCCTGTTTTAATTATTAACTGTGGTATTTATTCTTCTTATTCTACTCGTGATATCGGCGCAATTTGTGATAATTTTATGCCTCTGGAACCCCCAAGAAAAAAATATTTGTAAAGTGTGCGATTTTAATATCAGAAATATAATGTAAAATGTCGAGGCCATTAAGTCACTTGTTGCATGTGACAAGTCGTAGGACCAATGGAATAGGGTTTTACGTCCTATTGTTCTGCTCCGACTGGGCTAATGAAGACGTGGGGATGATTAAAGAAGATCTGCGGTAGGGAACCGTTAATCGATTGTAATATAAATCGGACAACCAACTAAACTTTTTAATTCTTAAATTGTATTATATAATTCACGGCAATTGGTAAATTTATATGGAACTGTGAACTATTTTAGAATGTAGTTTACTGTATAATTTACAGCATTTGGTAAATTCATATGAACAGCAGAGTCATGATGAATTATAGTCACCGATATTTCTCTAGAAATTTGACCTAATTGACCTATATTGTTACCTGACTGGTCAGATATTTAAACGTGTTGATATTGTTCAGTAAATAAAGCTACATGTTATCTACTGTGTTTGTAAAGACCAAACCTTCTGTCTGTTATCAGCGACAGTTAACTACTATCAACAGGGTTGTATATACCTTCTCTCTGTTATCAGGGCCAGTTGATGTCCCTAACTACTATCAACAGGGTCGTATATACAACCGCCGTGTTCTATCATACTGTTAGTATCACGCCTACATTCCTTACCGCGATCGTCGCCATCATTCGGACATCCATTCCCCATTTCTCTTACGAAAAACCCGAGGTCACGTGTACACATTGGCGTGCGCGTAAAAGATCCCTCGACAGTTGGAATTCGATATAAGATTAGGCCGTAGTGCCGCTGTCCGGGCAAAATTTCCCACATAAGACACTGTATGGCGTATGTACGCCTTCATTAGCCCAGCATAGGAGCAGACCAGTAGGACGTTAAACCCCATTTCATTTCATTTCATTTCCTCACTACAACCGCCAGTATCGCACCCGCTTCCTTTACTACGATCGTCAGTATCATGCGGACATCCAGTTATTCCTTACTACGGTCGCCGGTATTATGTGGACATCCAGCTATTCTTTATTGAGAGCTTTATGAATGTGGCTAGAAGACTCGCCACTTCTTCTTTATCAATGTGACTAAAAGACTCGTAACTTCTTTATCTGACTAACGACGTCGGTATGGTGGCATATAGATTCTTGAAGATACGCCCCTTTTTTTCGTCCCTACAAAACTCCTCCAAATGCAACAAAATCTTAAGTTTATCAAATAATGACGGTCATCCAGGAATGTTGCTAACCTCGCTTCTTGAATACAAATCACAATACAATTAATATAAAAGTCTTATTATGGGCAGTAAATTTCAATAGACTAGGCCAACTGGTGTGTATTGTTATTGATATTAGAATACAGAAGAGTCATCATTGTCTAGTCTGTGTTGGTAAAGTAATTACGGCTCTGTAAACGTATGTGACAAGGAGTAGGGTCAACACCATATGTGACAAGGAGTAGGGTCGATACCATAGATGGCTTGGTACCATACTTGTATTTGACGAGTTGTTAAGGTCTATATCATAATTGATATTACACTGCAAAAGAACCAATATTGTTTGGTTGGTGTGGTCAACGTCATTACGGTTCCGATGCCTTAATTGTAGATGACGAGATGTAAGGTCAATGTCATAATTAGATAGAAATAGGGGTGATATCATTGTTCTATGTGACAAGTGGTAGGGTCGATACCGATATCATAATTGTATGTAACATAGATATTATAAGTATTGTTTAAAAAAAACCATAAATGAATTTTGTATTACAGCAATGCCTGGTGGAACTCTGCCTGTTCTAGAAGTTGATGGTCAGTTGTTTGGGGAGAGTGTGGTAATAGCCAGATATTTAGCTCGTGAATTTGGTAAGTATTCATCCACAATGTTACTAGTGCAGGGGGGGGGGGGATGTGTATGAGGGTGTGTGTTTGTGTGTGTGTTGTGTGTGTGGGTGTGGAGGGGTGCTCACCACACACAAACCATTATACAAGACCAATCTACGGACAGGACTCAATATACAGACACCAAAAACAACAAACGCATATATCAGATCACGGAGTTATAGGCATATCGCACACATTGTTGAACACGAATAGGTATTAAGTATAGTTTCAAGGAACAATAATACGACATTTGTGTAAGGTTTTCATTTAGATAACTTGAGACTAATGATGAGGAACTTCAAATACGCATTCTAGGTTGCACTAGACTGTGTTTGTTTAAAATGAAGTGAGGGAATTGATAGTAGATTTTGATCTTTTATTTTAGAGAGAGAGAGAGAGAGAAATGGGGTTTAACGTCCACTCGACACAAACTAGGTCATTTCAGGACTAACATATGGTTTAATTTTATTCAATAATTCGCTTGCGCGTAGGGGTCTTTAGCAGTGGGAGGAAACCGGAGGACCCGGAGAAAACCCACGAGGTTGGAGATCTTTCTTTTTTTTTGGTCTGGATGATAGATACTACCAATGTATATTATGTATAGTATATTTTAGGTCTGGGTGGTAGAAACAACTATTGTATATTATGTATCGTATATTTTAGGTCTGGATGGTAGAGACAACTATGAGAAGTTATTAACCGACACAATAGTAGATAGAATCATCCAATTACGAGAACTTTTAGTCGGTTTTATGTTTCAGAAAGATGAAGAAATCAAGGTATGTTGAACACTTAATGCCACTTATTCGTTCGTTAATATTTCAAGCACCTGGCAATTTATCTAGAGTGAAAGGAATTTGTTTAGAATGAAAGGAATTTGTTTAGAATGATACAGAGTTGTTTCGAATGATACACGGTTGTTTCGAATGATACACAGTTGTTTAAAGTGATACAGAGTTGTTTAGAATGATACAAATTTGTTTAGAATGATACGAATTTGTTTAGAATGGTACACGTTTGTTTAGATTGATACAAATTTGTTTAGAATGATACAGAGTTGTTTACAATAGTACGAATTTGTTTAGAATAGTACGAATTTGTTTAGAATAGTACGAATTTGTTTAGAATAATACATAGTTGTTTAGAATGATGCAAATTTGTTTAGAATTATACGAATTTGTTTAGAATGATACACAGTTGTTTAGAATGATACACAGTTGTTTAGAACAATACATAGTTGTTTACAATGATACATAGTTGTTTAGAATGGTACACAGTTGTTTGAAATGATGCACAGTTATTTAGAATGATACAGAGTTGTTTAGAATGGTACACAGTTGTTTGAAATGATGCACAGTTATTTAGAATGATACAGAGTTGTTTAGAATGATACACCATGGTTTAGAATGATACGAATTTGTTTAAAATGATACGAATTTGTTCACTGTATATAAACTCCACAACAACTTATCCATTAATCAATTAGTCAATTTTTTAGGTTAATTGGTATTATTACTTATTAGCGTACAATTAAATCAGATTACCATTAGGTACACGTAATTAAGTTACATCCCTGGTTTGTCATCATTAACTTAGCATTGTGGTGTACATGTATATATTGTCCTGTCATATTTTCATTTTTTATCATAGCTTGATAATGACTAGAGAAGCCTAGTCGAAACGTCGCTCAGTAAAAAGCAGTAATTGTATTCCATAGAATTGTGACCTGTATAATGTATATAAACTAATGACAGGGCGGGGCCTATGAAACTGTCAACTTAAGCCTGACCACGCCTTAACGAGATTAACCCGTGTATGAGATCTTACAGAGAGCCCGGATGTAAATGTAGAGCCAACGACTTTCTATTTGTCTTTGATGTGTTTCAGGCAGTAGCACAGAAGAAGTTTCTTGATGAACAGCTTCCAGCTGCTATGAATTTAATTCAGAAACATGCCCAAGAAAATAAATGTACCGGAGATTTTCTTGTTGGTGATAAGGTGAGTTAATTCCCTTCTTGGTGCTATGGTGAGTTGATTCCCTTGTTGGTGATAAGGTGAGTTACTTCCCTTGTTGTGATACGGCGAGTTACTTCCCTTGTTGGTGATATCTGTCCACATACAAATCTACATAACTGAAATAAAATCTGTAGCAAAGTTAGTTGAATCTAAAAAAACGGAGTACTACAATACTAAAGTCGTCGACTGTGCTTCTGATCAAAAGAAATTATTTAATTTATCAAATGAGTTACTGAACTCAAAGACAGAACAAACTCTACCAGATCATGAATCTCTATCCAACCTTGCTGATAAATTTGCGACATATTTTAATCAAAAAATTGTGCAAATTAGAGATGACATCATCACAAAGACCTCCCTTATTGACCAAACCCAATGTCCGTCTTACAAAGTTCCCACTCTACATCTGCTAGCAGAATTTACAGCATTCAGCTTAGAGGAACTTAAAAGTGTGGTGCTTAAAACCAAGACGAAGTCTTGTCAGTTAGACCCACTTCCAACATGGCTTCTAAAAGACAATTTGGATGCTTTTCTACCAATCCTTTTAATTATTGTCAACAAGTCGCTTCTAGACGGAGTCTTTTCAAGTACCCTGAAGCAAGCCATGATCACACCTCTGATCAAGAAACCATCCCTAGATGCTGATCTGCTGAAGAACTACAGGCCTGTGAGTAACCTGAGCTACATATCAAAACTCATTGAGAAATGTGTGCTACAGCGTCTTAACGTGCATATTCGTCAGAGTGCTCTTGATAATCCTCTTCAATCGGCTTACAAGCAATTCCATAGCACGGAAGCTGCTCTCATAAAAATTGTTGATGATATCCACAAGTGCATTGATCAACAACAGAGCCTATTGCTGATTTTGCTGGACCTATCCGTTGCATTTGATACTCTCGACATCAGTGATCTCCTAGACACATTATGGGTTGAAATTGGGTTGCGTAACAATGTGTTCAACTGGTTTCGATCTTACTTAACCAACAGAAGGCAAGCTATGTGCATTAATGGGACTTCCTCAGACTTTGTTTCAATGATCTGCGGAGTGCCTCAAGGATCAGTCCTGGGGCCTGTCTTATTCATAATATTCACAAGACCACTTAATGCAATAGCCCAGACGATACACAGTTATATATCAGCTTTGATCATTTATCTGAAAGTACCATTGTGCATGATGTCGAGAAATGTTTAGATCAAATTCACAACTGGATGACTCTTCATTTTTTAAAATTAAATCCAGACAAGACTGAAGTTCTTTACATCGGTACAAAACAACAACTCAACAAAGTAAAAAGGGGGAGCCTTTCGATTGCTGGGGAGCTAATTCAACCAACAAACAAGGCAAAGAACATCGGTGCTATCATTGATTCCACGCTAACTTTTGAGACCCACATCAAATCCATCTGTTCTTCGGCTTTTTACCAGATCTACAAATTAGCAAAGATAAAGAAGTATCTAACATGTGAAAATCTAAAAATCCTCGTTCATGCTTTGATCTCTTCAAGGCTGGACTACCATAATGCTTTATTGTATGGTCTACCACAGTGGCAGCTGCAGAAGCTTCAATATGTTCAGAATGCTTCAGCTCGACTCATCACTGGAACCAGGAAAAGGGATCACATTAAACCATCATTAAGAACCCTCCATTGGTTACCCATAAATCAGCGAATCAAATTCAAAATACTTTTACTGACGTTTAAAGCACTCAACAATCAAGCGCCACAATACATCCAAGATCTACTTACTCCATATGAATCCAGTAGAACCTTAAGATCTCAGAACAAGTCATTATTAGTTACTCCTGCTGTCAGACTTCAACGGACGAAACAATCTTTTCACTTTGCAGCACCTTTTCTCTGGAATTCTCTACCCTTCGACATCAAAGAATCAAAAACTCTAGACATCTTCAAGTCACGTTTGAAGACACATCTATTTGACGAAAATAAACACTAAAAGAATCCCCCCAAAAAAACTTTTAAACGCATTAGGAACTTTATCAAAGTATTGTTTGCGCTATACAAATTCTGTGTTGATTGACTGATTGATAAGGTGAGTTACTTCCCTTGTTGGTGATAAGGTGAGTTACTTCCCTTGTTGGTGATAAGGTGAGTTACGTCCCTTGTCGGTAATAAGGTGAGTTACTTCCCTTGTTGGTGATAAGGTGAGTTACTTCCCTTGTTGGTGATAATGTGAGTTACTTCCCTTGTTGGTGATAAGGTGAGTTGATTCCCCTGTCGGTAAAATACGATTTTTAAAAATTTGTATAGCCATTGATATTTGTCGCTAAAATATCACATTTCTCCAATATATACATGCCCCGATTGATTATTTAACTATCAAAAATCAAAATACCAACGCTATATAATGTTCCAGCTTGGATTCAATTCGATTTGAACTAGGCCCATCAGGTTTATCTACTACCAATAAATTATATTGATTCCCCATATGTTTGTAAATCGAACGGAATCGAACTATTTTTGAACTGAGATTCAACCGTCACAATATTGCAGGACGGAAAGTCTGGCAAGGGTAATGTATAGTAGGTACTACATAAAACCGAGGTCCCTTGTACACATTGGCGTGCACGTTAAAGATCCATTGACAGGTGGAACCCGAAATAAGAGACGGCTGTAGTGCCACCCATAGCACACTGTATTTCGTATGCCCGTCTTCCTTGTCTCAGTCGTTGCAGAACAGTAGGACGTTAAACCCCACTTCATTGCAAGGGTTCTTTTACCTTCAGGCAATATTTTAGTTGTCAGCCAAGGGGACGGTACCCCTAACATAACAACTAGTGATCGGGTTTGATCAAGCACCAGATTTCCAGGGGACATTTCAGTACAGATCCACCAACGGCCAAAAACGATCAAGTATTGCCACAAGCATAATCGGAATGGTTTTCTCGAGGACATTTCAGTAGAGATCCACTAAAGGCCCAAAACGATCAAGTTCTGCCACAAAGGGTTATTGTCTTAATTTAATAACTTACGAGATAATCAGAATGATTTATTTCATTGACCCTGATGGTCTTCCGTAGCCATTGACCGTTATCTGTGTATTGACCATAAGTTGGTATATTTATGAATATGTATATTATTTTTCAGCTATCCTGGGCGGACCTAGCCTTGTTTGATATGTTCGAACATTTACTCGCATTTAAACCGGATGCTTTAGATAACCACCCAAAAATATCAGCCAGTTTTAAACTTGTGCCGACATTACCCAGACTTTCTGAATACCTGAAAAATCGTCCAGTCACACGAGTATAATTCATCAAACTGTTGGTAGTTCACAAAACAATTCCTGCTGTGACGTGTTTCTAGAAGTTAATTTGATCTGAGTAAAGTTAAATTGTTGATTTAATTAAATTTGATTCGTTATACAATTATAATTACATGTACGCAGATTCAGCCAAACAATTTTTTTATTATCTTGTTTTATTTTTTGTAAATTGAATTTTCATTATCTTTTTTTTATTCTTTGTAAATTAAATTTAATGAAAGCAAAGGATTTTGGCCGTCACTCATGGAACGAAGATTTAATCGTTTCGAACCATCTTCCGTCATAAATGGGAATCACAGCCAACAATTTATTTAATTTAAATCAAAATTGTCCAAGTTGTGTACAGGATCCAATCCAATCCAATAATATTATGTTTATAAAGATATGTTTGTCCAAGTTGTGTACAGGATCCAATAATATTATGTTTATAAAGATATGATGTGTTTATTGTTCTCTATATTGCACCAGTTCATGTCAAATTCTTCGTATTTCTACACGTAAATAATAACGGTTTAAATCTCCACATATGTTTATTTAAAGGACAATATTGGTGCCAGTCATTATCACATATGTGATAGAACTGGTTAAACACGTTCCAAATATTATTTTATGACAGAGATCATTGCTACGATAGATGAGTAATCAATGTTTCAACAATAGGAAGTGACGAATGCAAAAGGAAAACACGAGTTATCCCTCTATTATAACTGACTGAATTGACGGGTGATAACAGATACATGGGCGAATTTCTGCTCACTAAAAATTCCTTCGAAGACCAAAATTGAATGTCATTAGATAAGAGAACACGAAAGAAAAATTCTCTTATCTCGTGACAGTCAATTTTGTTTATGAATTGTCAGATATCCTTTCACAGTCCCATACAACAACTTTTGGTCTTCGAAGGAATTATAAGTGGGCAGAAATTCGCCCATGTATCTGTTATCACCCGTCAATTCAGTCCTGTTTGAGGAAACCGAAGTACCCGGAGTAAACCCACGAGATTGAGGAGTCACCCCATCTCTAAGCCGCATACTGTCACACCAGGTATCCATGACAATCTAGACCACTTGGCCATCCCAACCTCCCGGGCACTAACCTAGTATGATTAAATTTATAAAATGAATGAAATGAAATGGGATTTAACGTCCTACTGCTCTGCTCCGAACTGGGCTAATGAAGACGGGCATTCGCCATACAGTGTGCTAAGAGGGAAAGTTTGCCCGGACAGCGGCACTACGGCCTACTCTTATATCGAATTCCTACAGTCAAGGGATCTTTTACGTGAACGCCAATGTGTACACGGGACCTCGGTTTTTGGTCCCCGCCCCCCGATTCAATTGATATAGAAGTTCCACGTGACGCTAGTTCTGATGGTTTTTCGTTAGTGGCCCAGGGCCCTGTTTCACGAAATCTTAACTAAAGATAAAATCCAAATTTTAGTAGATACTTCAGTTTTGATTGGCTAAGCGCTAAAATCAATCTAATATTATCCAATCAAATTACTAAAATTTGGATTCTATCTTAGTTAAAATTTCGTGAAACAAGCCCCTGGTCGTCGTGTGGTATTCCTTGATTTGTTTCTGCAGGACAAATGAAATTACTGTGTTTCTTATTAGAGATTGAATCTTTTTTAAAAGTTTTTATTCCACCATCTCCGGTTCAGGGTTAGGGTTTCGTATTTTATATTTAGTTAAATTGATTTATGATGGTTTGATATATTTTCGCTTTCGGGTCAGGGTTAGGCTGGTGTTATTTAGCCTAATTTATTGTGCACTAAGATGTCGTTCACGTTTTTTATTTCTGGAATATGCAACAATAGTTAATTATTTATTCAATTTACTTTAGTTAGTTAAAATACATTCATATATATATATATATGACATACATGTAATACAGTTTATAAGGAAAACGGATTTGTAACATATTTTATAAAAATAATTAATTTGTATAGATTTTAACTCACACCATTAAAGAAAAAAAAAGTCGACATACACAGTATCGATGTTTGAATAATCCTTTCATGGCGTCTGGAATGGGGATTGGAGTGCGAAATCAAATATTGCGTATAACGCCAGTAGTTCTACAACATTTCTGATTGAGGCCTCGAGGCTCTCCTGTCCTTCTGGAAAACCTCGCGCGTCACAACTACGCTGTTAATACAACCCTACATGTCGCCATACATTCTGGTTATTTATGTAAACAAAGGTCTTAGAATTTCCCGAAAATTACCATTGCAAAAAAACAGAACAGTGATGAAGAAAAAAAACGTATCATAAAACAATCCATAAATTGCTTGAACAAGGAAATAAGTAACCACCAAACTGTCAGAAGTAGAATCAATATCAACGCTGGTGTGGACATATCTAACCAGCTGAGGGCAACTCTGGAAATATGATGCAATCCACTCTTGTAACTGATTGGTGGCTTCCATATGATCACCAGTTCTAGTCCAATCTATTACTTTATAACAATTAAAAACATCATCTATGACGCAATCATCTATTCTTAAGATGACAAGGTTGCTATTTGTGGCTTTATTAAGTAGCATGTTCATTTCGAATGTATTTTGTTCAAACTCATTCACAAATTGATGACTTGCTATAACAATAAAGGCCCCACTTTTGCCGATTGCTTTCCCAATTTCATGTAGTTTATACCTGCCAGGTATTATGTCAAATTGTTTGTCAAAATAATTTATATTAAATTGATTCAAAAATGGTACAATTTCATCTTTAACATAATCATAGTTGGAGTAATTATAAGACAGAAACACGTGATACTTGGTTGTTAGATATGAGTTAACATTGGCTAATGGGACTCGTTTGTCTTCAAATTTTCGATATGCATATGACTGAAAGTATATTATAAATGGAACGGCCACGATCAGAATAAACATTAAAACCAGGAGAAACTCAAATATCCATTTGTTTTGATCTATTTGGCCACAGTGTAAATCAAATTCCGAGATAGAGTTTACTGTCACCCCGTTTTTAAAAATGGCCGCAATCTTCTTTTCCGTTGCCGTATATTGATAGAAATCTCCCGTGACGTCACATTCACATGTTTTCTGCGGATCACGTGACATTGCTTCACACGATGATGATATGAGCGGAATCAATGATTTACTGCCAACAACGTGGCATTTATAACGCCCAAAATCTTTAGTTTGTACACCATATATATCTAAAGTACTGTCTATTTTATAAGATTGGACGAGGAACGACTGGACTGTGGTATCAGGTCCTAATTTTTTGTATTTTGTTGTTATGAACTTTCGTCTGCTGGGTTTTACCGGCTCGTCATTTCGTTCCCACGTCACTACATCTACTGGCGGAAATGACGCCATATAAGTCAGGACTACATAACAACAACGAAACATGACGTCATCACCGATGCAGGTGTTCGCCAATGGTGGATAATCACGAGTGTCTGTAAAGGTTGTCTCCCTTACACTGGTATTTCTGACTATATACCAATAAATGTAAAACATCAAGATAATCAGAAAATGTATTAACGTATTGTCAAACACCTTTTCCCAGAATAGTCGGAGAACGACCATTGCTCTTCGAGGTAGACTGGCAATAACCCATTTCCGGAACATATTAACTACGCGGATAAACAATCGATACAAATAAAGACAATATCTCATTTTGTGTTTCAATAAATACCTTATATATTGTTCACTGAATATATCACCCTTTCTTGGGAATATTTTGTAATTGTATCAGTCCAGTACAGAGCAACAGCACCTATAAAGTGTTATGCTGAAGTCCTCACGTCTGTGTTTTCCCGTGTAATCTAAAAAATAAAACACAGGATATATTAATTGTGATATAGTGTGCCACACGGAGCATGTCGTGTGTGTGAGAGAGAGAGAGAGAGAGAGAGAGAGAAAAAAGTGTTATGCTGAAGTCCTCACGTCTGTGTTTTCCCGTTTAATCTAAAAAATAAAACACAGGATATATTAATTGTGATATAGTGTGCCACACGGAGCATGTCGTGTGGGTGTGTGTGTGTGTGTGTGTGAGAGAGAAGAGAGAGTACAAACTAGGTCATTTCGGGACTAACATATGGTTCATTTTTTTTTCAATATTACCACAGGGCCGAGGAATCTTTAGCAGTAGGGGGCCGGGGGGTGACCGAAGGAACCGGAGAAAAGCCACGCGGTTGGACAGACGATCCCACGCACTGTCTCTTATAAGCGAGTAATCGAACTCACGCGCTTGTGTTTGATCCCCTTTTGATCTAGGTAGAACATCGCAATTTAATCTTGAAGAGTGTATCAATGGAATTAATTCGTTTTAAAGGACGTCGTTTTTATTGGACTGAGTAGTAAATGGCATCACGTGTTGAATGGAGGAATCCGGAACTGATGATTTGATGGGGACATCAATGCCTATGCGTGCAAAATTCCCCTTATAGCACACTGTTTGATGTATACCCGTCTCTTTTTTAAGTAGGACGTTAAACCCCATTTCATTTCATTTCTCCCAAGAAAGATGAACTGGGGTTTAACTTCCTACTATTCTGCACCGACTGGGCTAATGAAGACGGACACGGCCATACAGTGTGCACACAGTTTACAAGACACCCAAAGAATCGGCGTAGCTCTGAAGATAAGCGAGAACGCACGCACTGGGCTGCGACAAGCACAAACCATATACATGTATTGTGCAGTTCCTAAAATATACCTCCAGGAACACGCTTTTGGAACGGAGCCGATAGTCAAAGGGGGATATCAATCAATCGACATGTACCCGAGGTTTATATAGGCTGGAAGATCAGAGCGCGAAATGGAGTTTAACGTCCTACTGGGCTAATGAAGACGGGCATACGCCATACAGTGTGCTATGAGGGAAATTTTGCCCGGACAGCGGCACTACGGCCTACTCTTATATCGAATTCCAACTGTCAAGGGATCTTTTACGTGCACGCCAATGTGTACACGGGACCTCGGTTTTTCGACTAGACAGCTGTCCTTGTGAGGCCCTCCATCCTGAATCACTGACAAGGGGGAAAACCACGCAGGAAAATCTGGATGAACTAATGCAGGGATCGAACACCCGACCTCCAGGCTAGCGAGCCAGCGTCTTACCCACTTAGCCACGTGATCCCCATCAGGAAGCGAATGACCATATTAAAAATGCTCGTGTCCGTGATAAAGACGTATTTTCAACAGAAAGGAAACAATCAAGCTACTTAATTCGCTGTACTGATGATCTACTGTACTCGTGGATCTTACAAAAATCGGGACCCTTCTCTCTTTCGAGACCTGGACACATATATGCTGAAATCACCTGGGGCTGGTTACATCTCTGCACATCCGCTCTTTGTTGAAACACCAATGTTATGTCATACAAAAGTCCCTATTGATACTAGTAAGCTTACCTGAAGCAAGTCCTAGTTTTCTCAGAGAAACATAATACACATTCTGAGTACCTTGATGTATCTATTTTCAGATAATAAATTTGAGATACGTAACATCGGTTATCTATATCCAGGTGACATTTATAACGTTATTAGATGACATAATTATTATTATTACTCATTTGTAATGTGCATTTATCTATCTATTATCCGATTGTAAGTATATGTTGGGCGCAGAGTTCACATCGAGCTCAGATTATGTCTAATTATCAATTACTAATCTACGCCCACAGATTTAAGTCTATTCATGTTATTTAATGGATTAATTATCCCATATTAAAATATGTTAATAATCCATGGGGCCAGCTATGAGAGATTTTACTGCGAGAACGTCGTTTATCCACATAAAGCGAGAGGATTCTTTTACCCCACGGGCTTTTATCTCATGACACCAACCATCACTCAGTCGTACCTCCTGTTTTACCTTGTTTTTATTATGACCCACCCTCTCTTCTTACTTGCGAATTTTAACACTGTGTTTTAAAGTGACATTTTGATGTACAAGAACTTTGTTTTTATATGTTTCAAATTTATACACATTTATACACAACATCATGATAATCCTTCTCCTAATCCTACTTACTATTAATTGTTGCTGCGTCACATTCCGACTGTCTTTTAAAAATGTTGGGTCAATATATACGCATACATTTATCTTCTGCTTTATGTTTACCTAACCAGGGGCCTGTTTCACGAAATTTTCACTAAGATAAAATCCAAATTTTAGTAATTTGATTGGATAATATTAGATTGATTTCAGTGCTTAGCCAATCCAAATTGAAGTATCTACTAAGATTTGGATTTTATCTAAAGTTAAGATTTCGAGAAACATTGCCCAGAATTGAGAAACATTTACATTGTATTTTGGTGAAACATTTAAAAATCTGTCTACTGTTTGTTATATAAGTATTTATTTCAACTATACAACAATAACACGGAAGTTTACGGAAATAACAGCAAATATATGGGGATATGCAACAATAACACGGAGGTTTACGGTAATTACAGCAAATGTATCTGGATATTCAGTAACGTGATCAGTTGAGGTAAATAATTGGGACATATATCGTATTGTAGCCTACATGGACTGGAATTCCACACCAACTTTCACTTTCTTTACTGCATCTTGTCGATTTGAAATTATTTGAAAAACGATTACAGGACAAAGTCGATAGAGGACAGATCCTACACAGCAGGTCTGACACACTACTTTCATCTTTAAAAACATCGAGGAGTAATTACCGTAAATTTGAAAATCTGTACAACAGCTTAATACTCGCAGATTACAATCTTCGTATGCAGGGCCTTATCTGTGCGGATAGAGTAAAGTCTGAGCTAAATGGCCACACAAATGGAGGTCTGGTCGAGTGGTGAAAAATGCGTCCAACATAAGGGTTTGCGATATAAGATATTTATAGATAACAAAATATGCTGCTGTACTATTTCATTATCTACCGATGTTACATAATGAGTCCAAGGACGCCACTTGTCGAATGTCAAGATAGGGTTAAGATAAAGGTGCGAAATGAAACAACCATCTACGAATTTTAGCGATTCGGTTAAGAATAAACCAAATTATTTACGAATACACTAAATTCAGTGACAAATACAGGGGATGCTCGATTCACAGTCCGGAACGTCCCGAATTGACAGAATTGCAATCAAGTGACGCGGAATTCAGTCCTGTCACAGTTCTGTTACATGGTTGGATGAGATATTTATATATCTAGTCGACGCATGCGTTGTAGCTCGAAGTACCCATTTTCACTCCATTGTCACTATTTTTGGGATTGAGAGAATTCAATTCCGGAACGTTCAATCGAGTACGCCCTACGATCTCACGACTAATGCCGATACACGTACAAAACGTTTACGATATTCGGCACTATTCGTTTACGATATTCGGCACTATTCGTTTACGATATTCGTCACGAATCCAAACTTTTTCCGATTCGTAGATAAATTTTAGACGGTATTTTCAAGTTCTTAAATGATTTTTATTTGGTTCTTACCCATTCATATTGTCCTTAGCATTTCGTAGCTCTGCCACGCAAGTTTGTGTTCTTCAAAAACTTTCATGGCCGGTCTACGAATTTAATTGGTGGACACGTCGTAATCCTTTCTTATCGGCCGTAACATCTTCCTATTCGATTCTGTGAAAGTCGTGGCCATTCGTGGCTCCCTGATATTTACTGAACGTCGTCGAAACCGCTCTGAACAGGCACGAATGTCCCGAATCCGCCATGAATCAACTACGAATCCCCCCACACACGAATTTTTACCGAATGTGCCGAATAAATCACAAATACCCCGCGAATTCAGTATCTCGTCCAACGTAGTGCATTCGTAACTGAATTCGGCGTATTCGCTTAACAATTCGGCATATTCGTAAACAATTCGGCATATTTGCTAACAATTCGCCATATTCGCAAACGATTCGCCATATTCGTAAATTATTCGTAATTGATTCGCTACAATTCATAAATGATTCTTTAATTTCGTTCCTTTTTCGTAACCCTTTCTTGACATTCGGCATATTTTTTCTCAAAATTGCCCAGGTATTTAACTTGAAACTTGGAATGCATGTTCCTTGAAAAACTGCACATCAATTAAAGGACATCGATTCCAGGGTGGTTGCGATGACGTCATACTCTGTTCCTGGTCCATAGAACGGTCGTAGTTGTTAATTTCCGATTATAAACAAAAGGTTAGATGAACAATATTCAGGTCACAACACATAGCTTATAAGTGAACAATATCCGCCTTCCAGCGTTGAATATAACTTCTTGTAGGGGTGGGAGTAGAATTCGTAAGTTTTGTCCACATTTGTTTTTGTGATCTGTATACACTGAGTAGATAAATAATGTCAAATTATTGTATTACAAGTTTTTCTGAACTAAAGGCATTATTAGGCATTGTAGACCATTGGCCTATTATCAACGGGTATCTAGTTTGTTTCAAGATCTAATACTAAAACAATTCAACAGTTCTATAAAGGGGTTTCGCCTAGGACCCACAAGATGGAAATGAAATGGGGTTTAACGTTCTACTGTCTGCTTCGACAGGGCTAATGAAGACGGGTATATGTCATGCAGTGTTCTATGAGGGTAATTTTGCCCGGGCAGCGGCGCTATGACCTACTCTTATATCGTAGGCCACTCTTATATGTGGTTTCCAGTGAGCTTCATCAAGTAAGCCAAAATAGAAATTGAACTTACCTCACAACTAATCGATATAACAGATCTAGATCAACACAATTTTCCTTCCTACTGTTCTGCTCCGACTGGGCTATTGAGGACATGCATACACCTAACAGTGTACTAGTAGGGAAATTTCGCCCGGCCTACTTATAATATGAGTATTATATTGAATAAGTATTATGTATTATGTTGAATACCATCTGCCAATGGATCTTTTACGTGCATACTAATGTGTACACGAGACCCAATTTTTCATCCAATCTCAACGTCCTGCATCACCCACCAAAGGAGGAGGGTGGTGGTGGTGGCGATAAACTGTCGTCGTCAACACAGGGATCTAACACGGGACCTCCAGCTTAGCGAGCCAACATCCTACCCGCTGAGCCACCGCATATCCCGGCTTATTCGTAAAGACAGTATTAATCTGGAGCTATATATATATATAAATAATTTCACCTCGGATTATTGTTGTCACCAGAGTCGCTGTTTGTCACGGGACATGCTTTTGAATCAGTAGTATAAATAAGAAGTAACTTTGGGATGGAGACAGCTCTGTAGTATAAATAAGAATTAACTTTGGGATGTGTACCGCTGTCTGCACTATCACCCTAGGTTGAAGCGGGCGCAAAGCTTAGATAAATGAAACGTATATTTGGCCAAATACCCCAGTTAATTGATGTCCTCCAAGGGTTGATCCCTTGACAGTAAAGTACAGTTGGTTATACTGACTAATGAATATGTTAGAATGAGAATAGTGTGTAGCATAACCAAACCAATATGGAAGCTAAACCACAAGCTAACCAAAATCTACGCGTAACACTATTAGTCCCTGCTACATTTGCTTTGTTTTGGCCATTGATAGTCTGGGTATGGCTGAAGTGTATACGGCTGTAGCTCTCCAATCCTGGACTTCACGTTGTGGACTGAAATATTTGACTTTTACCCTGACCACGACGTAACGTCAATATCACTTTACTATGACTTCAGATACAAACCATAGGAACACAATATTCTTCTAAAAGATTTATTTGTATTAATCAGAATACAACGTTTATAAAAGGTATGATATTACAACAGGTATAATATTACAACAGGTATGATATTACAACAGGTATGATATTACAACAGGTATAATATCACAACAGGTATGATATTAGAACAGGTATAATATTAGAACAGGTATGGTATTAGAACAGGTATAATATTACAACAGGTATGATATTACAACAGGTATAATATTACAACAGGTATGATATTACAACAGGTATGATATCACAACAGGTATGATATTACAACAGGTATGGTATTAGAACAGGTATAATATTACAACAGGTATGGTATTACAACAGGTATAATATTACAACAGGTATGATATTACAACAGGTATAATATTACAAATATAAGCATAAGCATTTAAAAGTCTAAAATGTTTTTCAGTATCTCTCAATCCAAATAATTAGCCACATTTCAATTATGTAATTAAGAACTGAAAACTGCATCAAACACATTTTGTTGTTCGACAACCACGGATACGTCTGCAAAACATCCTGATTTTATTCATAATTTGAAAGCAAATTAATTGCTTTTTAGGCCAGACTGTTATCACATATGGTAGTAATTCCTAATTATATTACAAGTCACGCCCCACCCCCTCTACTGAAACATTATACATATTTCCCGTTTCCTATATAATCAATATATTCAGGATGGCATGAATTGAAATAAGATTTAACGTCCTACGTTTTTGCAGCGACTGAGCTAATGAAAGAAATATTACACTGTTAACTGGGCTATAATCTACTCTTATTTCGAATTCCAACCGTCAACGTGTTTTTTACGTGAACGTCAATGTGTTCACGATACCTCGAATTTTCGTACCAACCGAAAGACTTGACACTGTCAAGGGGAAACCGCACCGGAAAAATCAGAAGAATTGTCGCGGCCAAAACCCCTAGACCCCACTGAGTCACCGCGGCTCTGAAAACTGTATTCAGTCTTGTCTACATTGTCATATGAATAAATAGGAGGAGAACAGACTTATCGTGATTAAAATATATATTCAATTAAAACTATAATTACATTGATATGAATGTGATTTCATAAGGAAATAAAACTTGTACAGACTTTGTTTATTTTCATGCTTGGAAGGTGATGAAAAAATTGTTATATACTCGGTTTTTCTCTTTCCATACAGAAAAACGGTCTTGCAATTAATTCCGCTTTGGCTTGCCATAATTTTCATATTTTATAAACATAAAAAATATACATAGATTTTATCTTTTAAAAGGAAAGTACTTTTCATTGAAGGTGGGCAAGTTTCATAAGCCAATTTCCCCTTTCTGATGGAGGCTACGATGGAATTATTTCCCTTTTTTGAGGTAGGCTAAGGTGGAATTATTTCCCTTTTTTGATGGAGGCTAAGGTGGAATTATTGTCCTTTTTTGATGGAGGCTAAGGTGGAATTATTTCCCTTTTTAGGAGGGAAGAAAAACCCCGGAGCTGCAAATAGTTCTTTAAAAACATAATACACAAGGACTGCCGCCCAATAAATATGAATACCATCAATATCCGAGTTAAACATTACCTTGTCACAAAACAAGAATACTACGAAGATAATACCAATTAGCGGAGGATCAAAGCTAGGACATTGATTGGTATAATGTGAATTGTTTCCTTGAAAATAAGTTTCAGTCCATGGAAGTGATTCAATGTGTAATTCCATAAGATCACCAGTCCACTCTTGTAACTGATAGGTGGCTTCCACACGATCACCTGTCCAGTCAATTACTTTATAACAATTAAAAACATCATCTATGACGCAATCATCTATTTTTAAGATAACAAGGTTGTTTTTTGTAGCTTTGTTAAGTAGCATGTTCATTTCGAATGTATTTTGTTCAAACTCATTCACAAACTGATGACTTGCTATAACAATAAAGGCCTCACTTCTACCGATTGCTTCCCCAATTTCATGTAGTTTATGTCTACCAGGTATTATGTCAAATTGTTTGTCAAAATACTTTATATTAAATTCATTTAAAAACGGCATAATTTCATCTTTAATATAATCATAGTTATGGTCATTATAAGACAGAAACACGCGATACCTAGTTGTTAGGTATGAGTTAACATTACCGAATCTTGGGCCGTGCTTTTGGTTATATTTTAATACTACATATATCGGGAGTAATACAATCAATACTAGAATCAGGGCGGACCAAAATATCCACCATTTATTGTTGTCTATTTGGTCACAGTGTAAATCAAACTCCGAGATAGAGTTTACTGTAACCCCCTTTTTAAAAATGGCCGCAATCTTCTTTTCCGTTGCCGTATATTGATAGAAATCTCCCGTGACGTCACATTCACATGTTGGGCGTGGATCACGTGACATTGCTTCACACGATGATGCTATAAGTGGAATGAATGATTTACTGCCAACAACGTAGCATTTATAACGCCCCAAATCTTTAGTTTGTACACCATATATATCTAAAGTACTGTCTATTTTATAAGATTGGACGAGGAACGACTGAACCCTGGTATCAGTTCCTAATTTTTGGTATTTGGTTGTTAAGAACTGTCGTCTGCTGGGTTTTACCGACTCGTCATTTCGTTCCCACGTCACTATATCTGCTGGCGGAGGAAGTGACGTCTTGTAAGTTAGGACTACATAACAACAACGAAACATGACGTCCCCACCGATGCACGTGTTTGTTACTGGTGGATGATCAGGAGTGTTTCTAGAAGTTGTCTCCCTTGTAAAAGATAATATAACCAAAAACATGACACACATCGAGAAACACATAAGAGTTATAAAAAGATTGGCAACAACCCATTTCCAGAGATTCTTAAATATACGGATAAATAATCTATAAAAATAATGAAAATATCTCATTTTGTGTTTCTTTAAACACCTTGTACATGTATATAACACTACTGTTTTATAATGAAACCACGTGGGTGCATGTTAACTTCAAAGACAAAATATATTTTCACACCTTATAAAACCAGATTCTCGCGTTAATAGCCACTACCACTACACTTAGCATAATATTGTGCGTCGCATGAAAAATTATACATTTTTATAACAATCCTTTACAATCCTTCCGAGTCATGTGTGCCATGCAACTTGCGTATTTGTAGACAAAGATGCTCCGTATCGTTACGTTGCAAGACAGGGAAAAGCAATAAATTAAATATGTATATTATTCACTGAAAATGTCATCTTTTCTGCTCTTAAGGATTATTATTAATAGTATCCTTCCAGTCCACAACAATTAATACCTAGAAAGTTCTGTTTCTATAACCACTGTATATCCCGTTCACTGAATATATAATCTTTTCTTGGGAATATTTTGTAACTGTATCACTCTGGTCCAGAACCATTAACACTTAGAAAATTCATACTAAATTCGTCAAGTTTGTTTTGAGGTCTGTTGGCTCCGTTATATCTAAAATATAAATCACAGGACATATTAATTGTGATATAGTGGGTCACACCAACTCGTATTTATTGCATATTGTGACACTACGGGGACAGATGTGACATTTTCGTCTAGCAATTTCTTTGACTTCACGTGGTGATAACTATTTCCAATGTTCAATTAACCCCGGAACACTTTTTTTTACCATAACTAAGTTTATATATCGAATACAACATGTTACAAAATGACAGATGTTATGTTTCCTGTCATCTTGACACGTGTATCAACCTGTCCGATCCCTGGAGATCGTGGTAGCATTCCTTATATCATTATGTAACTTTAACTTGTTGATGGCATGTCTTATCTAACTTTACTGAATGTTAAACCTGATATGATACATGATACATTAGCCAGGTGCCTAATAAGATCTTTTGTCTGTGGGAGTGTTTATAAACTCAGAATGGAAACGGCATAGTCAGACGGGTCCGGCCAGGACATGGAGAGTCGGAGGCTAGGCGAGGACGTCTAGAAATTAACTGAGGCCACACAGGTCTCGAGTTAACACCGGACATGTAATGTAAGTTAGTTTGGAGTTGGCACACGTGCCTAGCCAAGCTAAGGTCATGGCTCCCTCAAGACAAGTTAATTACGGAGTCTTAAGTTTTGTTCATAATATGTTAAAAGAAGAATAAAAGTATTATAAGATGTTAAACTAGTCTTGTCATCCAGAACCTGATTGAAACAAATACTATCACAAACATCCATAATATAAAGGTTCTATACAGGACTACACACACACACACAGCTATGACATGAAATATAAGCTTAATATAAGTTCTCTATCCCCTAGCTTGTGTTTGATGGTGGTATTTCCTAGCCTCTCAGCCGAGAAGACTGTGATGTTCCCCCTTCGGACCGCTCTATATCTTCTCTACGGTCTCATCATGATATCTATTTCCCAGCCTCTCGAAGATGTCTGGAGTGAAATTAAACTCGTTCTTTCTTATATCTTTATAAGTCAGTGTTGAGCCCCGGGAAATTGATGCAGATTCTTCCTTTATCGGATTGGTCAGCTGCACAGACGCTACACTGGATTTAAACACAGTGTACTTATATGGACACCCAGGATGACGGCTAACCACGTTTCTAACGCATGGGGTTACAATATTTGGATTATCAGACTATGATGTCATTGCCCGATTTTAAACTACCAGACTTATCCTTGTTAACCCAGTTCTCGTTGTCACTAGTACTAGCTAACGACTTCAATACATTATCCAGAACATCTTTACAGAACTTAGATAACCTCTACATTATATAGGCCCTATAGTATTATAATATGAAGCAACCCTTGGGCCCATATTCGGAACATGAAAATATTCATTGAGGCAATTTTCCATCAACGGTCACTGATATTATAGTGTACAAGAGTAAAAAGTAAAATATAATATATGCAATAAAAAAAACATTGCCTGGATTTATACACTTATACTACAAGAGAAATATTATGGGTTTTAGCGTCTTACTCACTGAGCCACCTCAGTGGCGCAAACCATGACAATATAGACTACCAAATGTGTGCTGATGACTCACAATTAATGTAACAAAGTCAACCGGTGATATCCGTCGAAATCAGTCACGGTTACGTTTATTTTGTTCTCATCAATGAATGACTGAATGAATCGTATGTATCTAACTTTCCCCGGGGGGTTGGATGTCCGAATGGTTAGCACGTGCGTGCTGTATCATGAAGCCTGTCATTGAGTCAACTGGCGTGGTTTCGAATCCCCGTTTGTACGTGTCAAGGAGTAGGGTCGCATGTCCAACCTCGTGGGTTTTCTCCGGGTCCAGTTTCCTCCCACTACTAAAGACCCCTACGCGCAAGCGAATTATTGAAATAAAATTAAACCATATGTTAGTCCCAAATTGACCTAGTTTGTATCGGGTGGATGTTAAACCCCATCTCTCTCTCTCTCTCTCTCTCTATCCAACCATTTCAAATTATTATTGATAAATCACCTTGTGTTACTCCTAATTTAACGGGGCATTATGTAAGGTTTACATAAAGAGTTGGCCGTACTGACTATATTATATTTCAAACTACTTTATCAATGGTTGTAGATAATACATAGATACCCAACTGCCTGCATTGAACATTACCTAGAAATCGTGTTAAAACAGATCCGAATGGAACCGAAAAGATTGCATAGACCACCATGATGCGGGGAGTGATATCCTAGTTTCCATCTGACCACGCTCCATGCAAACAAACTGGTTAAGACAAACATGCGGACATGAAACAAACCACACAGAAAGCAATAAACAACAAATATCACATCAAGTGAATGGATCTGGGGACCAGGCTAACACTGGCTTTTAAAGACTCAATACCATTCTTGTTGTAACTAAATAATATGTCCCAATCTTTATTCTGATCAACAAAGTGTACTATTTTACAATATTCCAATTAATTGATGATACAAATTTTATCTTAACACACCTAATTTAAAAAATTGGAAAAACTCGACTGAATGATTTGAAAAGCCTAACGTAAACCTTTTCAAATGTGACTTGGATTTAAAAATATTTTTGAACCCTCTGGACAAGTAAAATAGGTTTTAATGGATAATTTACACAGTAAGACACTAACACATCTAGTACTTAGAATAAGGCTATTATTTATTTACTGGAGCTGTCAAGCCATCAAGAGTGTTATTGTCCCTTTAACTGTATGAACTTTAAGGGCAAGGTAAAGTGACACCATTTTGTCACAACACCTGAAAAGATGAAATCCTTATACGGCATTTAGTAACTGAACATATGATATAAAACACAAATTTATATGGAAAGCAATCACTGGGTTTATTTCTTATTAAGTTATTACTTACTTGAGAACGACAAGAGGAACTTGTTGAAACGTAGTGTGAAATAAACCCAGTGATTGCTTTCCATATAAATTTGTGTTTTATACCTGAAAAGATGAAAAAATTATTTCAAAAACCAGAACAGTGGCCTTTGGTACAAAAGTCTAAAATAAAAAACATTACTCACAGATCATTTTTTTTACTACAACTGACCCTTTAAACTGATCTTGTGATCACTGAGGCGTAAATTTATGGTGAAAATATCGCAAAATGTCCAACTAACGCGGTTACACCTACAAGAATTATTTGAACTTTCTGACGTTACTTATCACATTCAACTATTGTCCCATGGTGTGTACAACAACCGTCGAGACTCGCTTTTTCAATTAACCTCTCTCTATTAATGTAATACGTATTTCATTACGTTAGGTACATACTCGCATGTGCTTTAGCCATTTTGTTATTTAGTCTCGCCCTTCTTCTCCAGTGACCCTCTGTTGGCATATCACTGAAGCACAAAAAATCGCCAGGTTGATCGAACCTACTGACGGAATACAAATCGAGGGAGATCAATTATTTACATATCTATATATTTTGAAAAACCCTAACCGTTGCAGTTTCTTTCTGATCACCCATTAAATGCAAGCCGTAGTTCCGAACACAGTGAAAACGACCTTCACCCTTTACAGGCATTACTCAGCGTTCAATGAGTTTTTGGCTCAAATTTATAATTTGCTGTAATAAGTGTCATATTATGTGGCATACTATTTGACACATATCAGTAAGAGTATGTTGCTTGTATTACAATTTGTTGGTGAAGTGTAACTTATGGGTTTTAAATTGGCTTTGCCGGACTATTGCCATTCGCTGCAGAACTTCTAGAAGGTGTCATTCGGCCTCCAAATGTCAACAATTAAGAAATTTGACAAAAACTTTATTTCGTGAATACTTTGAGAGAAATGTTTTGTAAGGAGAAAATTTGAAAGGTACTGTGGCATTATGTAGCATCGATGTCATTTGTGATCGGATAGCCAATCTCTGGAGAGGTGTTTGTTTTTAGAAAGATGGGACGAACTGTCAAAAAAAGTTGGTACATGTGGTTTCGTCGTCAAGTGATCTCAAATTCGTTGAATACATTTTATTTTCATATTGGTAAGTACACACTGCATTCTTGCATTGCACGTACCAAAGACGACAGTCTTCAATTTATTTGCCTAATCATTTGGGCTTCTTGAAATTAAAACTTTGCCAAAGTGCATTATTATCAACTTGAAAATTAATTGTTGGATATTTTCAATTTCTTCTAGTGATACATTTTGTGGGTTTATATATAAGTTAAAATTATCAAGTTTTAACCTAGGCCTATATTATTAAATTATTTTTTGTGACGTACTTTATTTAAAAGATGGTTTGTTGGGTTTTTCATTTTTAAAATTATTATATAATAATTATACTATTATAATTTATGTGTTGTTTATTTAGGATTTGTTTCATATAAACTTTTCATTGATATACCTTGTAATTTTTATTCTTATTTTACAGAATTGGACAAGATAATCTACGCAGATTATGGTGGCCGTGTTGCTTTAAAGTTAAAGGAGGTGAGAGAGAGAGAGAGAGAGAAATGGGGTTTAATGTCCACTCGACACAAACTAGGTCATTTCAGGATTAACATATGGTTTAATTTTATTTCAATAATTCGCTTGCGCGTAGGGGTCTTTAGCAATGGGAGGAAACCGGAGGACCGTACAACCGGGGATTCGAAACCACGCCAGTCGACTCAATGACAGACTTTATGATACAGCGCGCGCACGCTAACCAATCAGCCATCCAACATTAAAGGAGGTAAATCGCTAATATTTGAGACCTAGAAATTGCACAAATGGGTAGCAACGCATATAATAATGTAACTGATTTACATTCAATCGTTTCCGTTTTTACTCAAATTTCAAATCAATTATGTTCGGCGAAATATGTCAGAAGTCTCAATGGAATGACAATCTCCTAGCGTCTGGTTATTCCAGTCTACGCCGATAGTATTTATTGTGCATACTCTCCAGATAAGAATATGGATCACGCTTAACATGACTTGTGGAATGTGTCTAGCCTCGTTCTTCGAGTACCTTATTACAAAAGGTCCTGAAACGCATTATGGTACACGATACGTGTACCAATGGTAAAATGATTATTTTGTCTTAATTATCGGATATCAGAATATCTTTACCCGGTAAGATCACAACATCAATGTTGATGTAAACTGACAAATAATTTGTATTTTCAAGGTGGAAGACTTTGGATGATATTGAGTTAGAGACTTGTGTAATTTGACAGATAAACAAGGAAAACTATGATTTATATGGAATTTAAAGCATCATTAAAAATTATGTGGCATTTATGATAAAAAAAAAACCCTTTAAAATGGTACATATTGTCAATTTATATGAAAAAACCCCTCAAAAACATTAAACATTCCGAGTCATATAAAATATGTGAATACATACTATGTGTGGATTTAAAATCCTCAAAACTGATGGTTAATGTATCTACAATGGTAGCTGTCTTTTTTTTAAATCTAGCATACCAAAAGCAACCATTACATACATGCCAATCAAATCATTTCCTATCTAGACAGTTAAGTTACACTTTTGCAAAGTGACGAGTGTTGTGAATGGGCAGGGTATGCCCAAAATATCACTTTTAATATTACACAAACCCTGTTGGCAAGTTTACAAATCTATGTAGGCCTTCTAGAAGACAGAAACATTGTACATCTGTGAATGGATGTGATTCATGTATGTCAGCATCTAATTAACTAGAACATCTGATATCACTTCCCATTGGAAAGTTTGCAAATAATGCTGAATGTTTTACACGTGCACATGTATATTGAGAATTTGTGTATGTGCTGGATTTAGAAAATGAATTGAAAAATACACATTTACATTATTTATTTTTCAGAAATATAGGCCAGGAACTGAAATGTGATTTAGGATTTGTTGACTTTAATATAATAACAGGTGGGTATAACAAATTGTAAATAATGTGGATTATTCCATTTGATGTACATACATTAGCTGAATGCTTTTTAAGTAAATTGGGTGGCCGAAAGGTTAACGAGTGCACATTTGATCACAAGGTCTGTCATTAAGTCCAGAGGCGTAGTTTCAGTTGTCCACTTGTATGTGACAGGCATTATTTCAATAATTCGCTTGCGCGTAGGGGTCTTTAGCCTTTAGCAGTGGGAGGAAACCGGAGGACCCCAAGAAAACCCACGAGGTTGGACAGGCGACCCTACTCCTTGTCACGTATAACCGGGGAATCGAAACCCCGCCAGTTGACTCAATGACAGACCGTATGATATTATATGTCTTATCATAGAAGTCTATAGTTTTATATTCTCTTGTAATCATTTCTTTAAATACCTTAATATTCCATACCTTTGTAACCAGGATAATTATTTTTAGATTAGGGTAAAAGATAACTCCTACCACGTAAAGTGATTTATATAATTAGTAAATAATTATTATTATCTATATATATGATTGATGTTTTGTCATATATATAGTGTAACCAATATATACATTATACTGTTAGGATCAATAGGATACTGTGTATTAGTCGTTTTTATATTCTTGTGATTGAATTTTTGAATGCAATATGTGTAAACTGCCAGTCGGAATAAATGTCTCTTACAGATATATTTAGATGGCCGGAGTTTGCTCGACCGTTGAGACTGCGGCCGATCAACAGCAGTTAAATCGCTAGTATCGGCAAGCTACGTTCCGAAGGCATAGAACCTCTTCTCACGTAAGAGGTCCCTGCCCTTTCTGTCTCAAAGAGTACGGCAATCTAGTATTGCCCGAAAAAGACAAGCTGCTGATTCAAGAATAAGTACGCGAACCGAAAAAGGAAAGACAAATTCAATTCACTTTGCAGATTCATGAACAAGTACGGTGAATGCTATTCGCCCGGAAAAGGAAAGACACTTCTAGGGTACGGTGAGCACTGTTCACCCGAAAAAGGACACCGAGAGAAATGGGGTTTAACGTCCACTCGACACAAACTAGGTCATTTCGGGACTAACATATGGTTTAATTTTATTTCAATAATTCGCTTGCGCGTAGGGGTCTTTAGCAGTGGGAGGAAACCGGAGGACCCGGAGAAAACCCACGAGGTTGGACAGGCGACCCTGCTCCTTGCCAACCACGCCAGTTGATTCAATGACAGGCTTTATGATACAGCGAGCCCACGCTAACCATTCAGTCATCCAACCCCCCTGAAAAAGGACAGTTAACAGAAATAAACGTATAAAAGCTGTAAATACTGTTATATATTTTGAAAGTTTTTATTACATGAAGCTTATCATAATTTTAGCAAAACACCGTTAATGACCACTTTTTAGCTGGTCCTTACACACACCCTTCCGAAGTTCCGTTTACCGGTGGCTCGTGATCAGCCAGGAATTGATCACTGGTGGCAGAGATACCAAGCTCCCCGTACCCCAAACGTGGTTATCCCTTCAAGGAAACGTTACAACAGCTTGTTTTGTGATGTATGGGGAAATTTTCTTTCTATAAATATACCTATATGACGTATACAATATGCTGGTCACATTTATATCTGAAAACATGCAGAATCAAATGGGTCATAATATTCCCCCCCCACCCCATCCCAAATCCGAAACATTAAGTGTTTATCTCTTTAATAACGCTATGGCTTGGTGGTTTGTTGTTTTGTTGCCTAACAACATAACACTGCACTATTAAAGAGAAATGTATAGTAGTTTAATACATACATGACTATTGATCGTTTTATTCACTCAACGAGCTGTCACAATTATTCACATTCTTTTGTAACCTACTATTAGTAGATATAAACACTTACTTACTTACGTCTCATGAATGATGTGGAAAACATGCGACACCGACTCCAAGATTCTAAAAACTGTTTAGCCTAGTTGACCAGGAAGTTAGAAGATGTCATGGGACAGGTATTGAGTGACCTAATATGTTGAATGTCGCTGCGTTATTGACATCACATATAGGACACAGCTCACCAAATATTCCTGCGCCGTCACAAAAAGGCGAAAGTTATTTTTTCTCTTTCTCTCCCTTTCCCTTTACCCCATTTTTGTGTGATGTAGAATCGAAGAAAAGGATTTGGAAACCCATTCTCTGCCAGGTTTTGGTGAATATTCATGATTTTGAGGCGGAAGGATACGAGAGTTGAGCGGTTGGTAATTAGATTGATATGTAGGGCGGAAATTGCCTCTTTTGTGGTCTTTACTTCCAGTTTGTGTATCGCAAATGTTAACCTTATACGTACTTTTGAGCAATGGGTTGCCACCTGTTGCTCCATCTGTGGTGAGACGATCTCGGATACTCTCTGTAATACACCAATCAATTTAAAACGTTAATTGAAGCCTGGTATCATCTAAACCTATACATTTCCTAATTTTAACCAACTTTCTCATGTTATGGGGGTGGGGGATGGTCGAATGGTTAGCACGTGGGCGCCGTATCATAAGATCTGTCATTGAGTCAACTGGCGTGGTGCCGATTCCCCGGTTGTACGTGACAGGGAGTAGGGACGCCTGTCCGACCTCGTGGGTTTTCTCCGGGTCCTCCGGTTTCCTCTCACTTCTAAAGACCCCTATGCGCAAACGAATCATTGAAATAAAATTAAATCATATGTTAGTCCCGATATGACCTAGTTTGTGTCAAGTGAACGTTAAGCTCTCTCTCTGTCTCTCTCTCTCTCTGTCTCTCTCCCTGTCTCTCTCTCCCCCATTTTCTCTCTCTCTCTCTCTCTCTCTCTCTCTCTCTGTATAGCTGTATAATCGTTCACTTTAAAGATATTCATAATTTTTGTTTTCAGAAATATATTGCTCTTGATCAATTCGGAAATTACAAAAGAATCGGGTTTTGGGTTTTGGGTTTAATTTAAAGCAAACACGCTTTACATAAGGAAAATAAGACAGGATCAAGAACAAAGCCGTGTGGTACGCCACACACATTAAGAAGACTACTGACTATTTACAAATGTGGCGGGGCAGCCGAGTGGTCTGTCGCCTGTGCTTCAGATCATATGATCTGTCATTGAGTCAGGTGGCGTCGTTTCGATTTCCAGATTGTACGTAGCAAGGAGTTGGGTCGCCTGATCAATTTCAATGGTTGTCTCCGGGTCCTCCGGTTTCCCGCCACTGCTAAAAGTCCCCTTCGCAGAAGCGAATTAATAATAAATACAATTGTATCATATAATTGTCTCGAAATGACCCCAATTCGCCCCCTCTCGCCTTTTTGGGGAAATAAAAGGAGTGGGGCATGTTGTGGAAGACGTTTGCTTTTTCCATTGACCTGACATTCGGGACAAAATCTAATTACATCAGTACAGTTTGTTGCTTCTCGTGAATAACGTAAGTTGTTAAACGTATCTTGTACAATCTGACTTGTATATTTATAAATACCCGTGTCACTTTATTGTTATTAATAGCACAAACCAAATATTTAGGGCAGCGTGACTTTAACATCGAGGTCATAGACTAGTGTGTATGAATGACTATGTAGACTCAAATATCTAGACACTAATGGTTGATCTTACTCGCTAACACTCTAGTTAATATGAAATGAAATGAAATGGGGTTTGACGTCCTACTGTTCTGCTCCCAAACTGGGCTAATGAAGACGGGCATACATAAGCCATACAGTGTGCTATATCGAATTCCAACTGCCAAGGGATCTTTTACGTCACGCCAATATATACACAGGACCTCGGTTTTTCGTCCCATCCGAACGACTACTCTAGTTAAAATGGAAACATATAGATACCGCGATATTAATAAGGTAATATGTCAACATATTGTCATGACTGGACCCCTGAAAAGACAATTTTTGTCTAGTTAATTAAATCAACGCGCTATTTTATATATCGTCATATCGTTTTATATGTGCACGTTAATATTATTTCTATTTTGACGCTTTTTCAACATATTCTATGTTGCTGTAGTACAAACATATCGACATATCAATATGCGCTATGTCGACATATACTATAGCGAAATGGAATATGTATATAAAACACATTTAAAACACAGCGCTTTGATTCGGTTAACTAGACAACAATCGCAATATGTTGACATATTATTATATTAAAATGATATCGAGGTATCTATTCCACCTTGGCCCTTATATGTTTCCATGAGTTAAAAATAATAACAATTTACTTCGTGGTCGTTATGCTGCCCATCCGTTATTCTGTTCTTGGTCCGATAGCCTTGACTGAATTTGTTGATAAGTATTTCATGTTTAGGCTAATAAGCAATTTTATCACCCAATAATACATTCTACAGTAGATATCGCTTGTGTGATATATTTCATAATCTACTGCGATACCTCCTTAGGAGATGAATTTGATCGGTCAGTTGTAAAGGAACTACTTTTTTTATTTTTAAAGAACAGTTCATTTCTTATTAAAAGTAACTTTTTTCTTTATTAAAAATGAACTATTGTTATTCAATTGACCTTGATGGAAACACTGGGTCAATATACAGGACTTTGCAATGGTTGAATTGCTGTCACAAAATGATGTATCACTACGCCGTAATGTTCAGTAAAAGTGAAATCTACATTTATCTATATTTATCTATTTGTGCATGTAAGAAGGGATTGGGTGATAAATAAAATCTCCTACGGGTGCGCTTTAGATCATAAGGTCTGTTATTGAGTCAAGTGTGGTCGCTAGTCCAATTTCGCGAGGTTTCTCCAGGTCCTTTGGTTTTTTCTCACATTTAAAGACCCATACATTAAATCATGTATTAGTCGCAAAATGACCTAGGTTGTGTCGAGTGGGCGATACCCCCTCTCTGTAGAGAGAGAGAGAGAGAGAGAGGGAGAGAGAGAGAGAGGGTGGGGGTGAGGTGTAACATCGAGTTATAATAGTGTATTGTCATGATGAGTTCTATTATCAAGATTATTCTATAGCTGATGATAAATTTAATCATCACAATAACAAACATATTATCATGATAAAATGTATAATCATAATATAGTTATTTATAGTAACCTTTCCATTATCAGTAGATTAAAATATTTAATATCGTTGTAACCTTAGTAAACGAACAGCCATCCGAGATAGAACATTTAATATCGTTGTAACCTTTGAGATAAGCCGGTGAAAAGTATGATTATTACGTAAGGACTAAAACTTATTTTATCAGAAAGTAGAACACAAGAGGGTGCTGGCTGGGGAAATATTGTCAATCTTAACTTATAACATTGAGTCAGGTTGCATGGTGTCTAGCCAACACTTGTACGTGACGAGGAGTAGGGTTCAGTTTTCTCCCACTGCTAAAGACCCCAAGGCGCGAGCGAATTGTTGAAATAAAATTAAACCATATGTTAGTCCCGAAATGGTCTAGTTTGTGCGAGTGGACGTTAAACCCCATTTTGTTTCTTTTAAGGTGAAGCATTACCAGATCAGATAGTTTGAACGAAGTCGAAACAAAATGCCACCCAAATACACGTACTATTTCTTTAAAAACTACGGATCCAGTGGAGAGCTGTCTCGATTGTTGTTTGTCGCTGCTGGTGTTGATTATGAAGATATTCGAGTGGAAATATATGAACCCGAGTCAGAGTGGATAGACCTTAAACCAAGTAAGTTGTGAAGGTTGGTAAGTTGTAAAAGGTTTGAACCCGAGTCAGACTGGAAAGACCTAAAACCAAGTAAGTTGGGGCAGTACGCGAGTGTATTTATCCGCTGGGGTTCTATTTAAGCCAAGCCTGTATCAACAAAGGCGTGGGACTGTTCGCCGGTTGGTTTATCCTCTGATGTTCTATTCAAGAGAAGCCTGTATCACCGAAGGTCTGGGTTTATTGCAGTGGCATAGACAGGTTTATTTGTACTCTGGAACAACTTCTTGGTGGCATGTGCGCAAGTCTCAATTATTGGGCTCAGAAAAGTGAGAAAGGGACACATTGTAAATATATAAAAACATATGAAATAAACTTTTTATTCAAATTAACGTTAACAGCGATTATTACAGATTTTAAAACATAATTTATTTTAATTATTTTTATTCCATCTTCTTATTCTATCCCACCCCCCCAATTCTTGAAAGGGATGCCCTCTCTGTAATAACAGATTTAATAAACTTTTATTCTCATAAATTATGTTGTTCATCAAAGTTAACAGTGATAATTTAAAATTCAATAAAGAATCGTATCTATCTGATTGGATGCTCGTCACCCCTGAAATGGCTGCCCAGTTTTGATGGTATCAAGAAGTGGGGGAGGGGGTCCCATATAATTCAGTGTGAAACGTAGTAGGGATGATCCTACTGATCTTTGCATCAAGAGGTGAGGTCGTATTCCATGTGTACAGGTGTTTTCATTACCCACAAAATGACTGCCGCACGACTTCGCGGCTGTATGTTTCGTTGATTTCTGTATTACAGCTATGCCTGGTGGAACTCTGCCTGTTCTGGAACTTGATGGTCAGTTGTTTGGGGATAGTGTCTTAATAGTCAGATATTTAGCTCGTGAATTTGGTAAGTATTGTAACCTAAATGTTTCACGATGACTTCATAGATGGGTTTAGTTTGGGGAGATGGGTTTTACATCTAGGCCCGTTCCTCAATACCATTTAGACATCCTGACTAAAACTATTGTTTTAAAAAGAAAGAGATGACTTCATAGACATGTCTTCAAGATTTATGGACTGATTTGCGTTATCCACATGAAATAAAGAAACCAATAATACTGTTCTCGTCAACAGGTTTGGCTTCATTAGCCCAATCGGTGCAGAAAACTTGGACGTTAAACCCCCATTTCATTTATTTTCATTATCTATATATACTATGATATAATATTATGTATCGTATATTTAGGTCTGGATGTTAGAAACAACTATTGTATGTTATGTATAGTATATTTTAGGTCTGGATGTTAAAAACAACTATTGTATATTATGTATAGTACATTTTAGGTCTGGATGCTAAAAACAATCCTTGTATATTATATATAGTATATCATAGGTCTGGATGGTAAAAACAACTACGAGAAATTATTAACAGATACAATTGTAGACCGGATTATCCAGATACGAGAACTGTTCATCTGGTTAACGCTTGAGAAAGACGTAGAGAGAGAAATGGGGTTTAACGTCCACTCGACACAAACTAGGTCATTTCGGGACTAACATATGGTTTTAATTTTATTTACATAATTCGCTTGCGCGTAGGGGTCTTTAGCAGTGGGAGGAAACCGGAGGACCCGGAGAAAACCCACGAGGTTGGACAGACGACCCTACTCCTTGTCACGTACAACCGGGGATTCGAAACCACGCCAGTTGACTCAATGACAGGCTTTATGGAAAGACGTAGAAATCAGAGCAAGTGAAAATGCCCAACTCTAGGGATGACCTAAAGACGGACGGACGTGTATGGTAGGCTTTGGAGCCCATAAAGAAATAATTAAAATTCTCAAGTAGTTTTGGAGCCCTTTTTAGTCTCCAATTCATGACATTTTTGACGAATTTGTCAGAATGTCACACGCTCAATTTGTGCATAAGCTAGAACCATCAATATAATAGAAAATATCATTTACAGTCAGTTTTTCAAAATATTTCTCTCGTAAGTCTCTCGTCAGGGAGAAAAGGCATCCTCGGACTACCCTGCCCAACTTCCTCCGCAATACTGGCAATTTAAATGTTACAAACTAAATTTTGGTATAATGAATAATAATATGAAATAGTTATTCCTGGTTAAACAAAACAGCGCCTTACTCACCGAGCGTTCCCATGACTACAAAAGTATCAAATTTTTGTGCATTTAAAACGAAATGACTACATACAACATAGAGAGTTATTCAGTTAACTCGGCAAAAATTGTCTTTTCAGTGATAAAATCAATAGAACAATCACAATATGCTGACATATTACCAAATTAATATTGCGGTATTTATCGCGCTATTGACCCCTATACGCTTCCATACTACACAGATCTACACTAATATTCCAACCCGTATCATAATTAATTACCATTTCATTGATACAGGTGCCGAATACATTTCTTTCATTTATTAAAGATCGTGTCTATTATGGACGAAAAATCCGAGTAGAAAAGGGGCATAACTCGTGTAGAGAGCGGCCTAGGTTTATCTAAACTACGCCATTCTTTATCAAGCAAGCGATTATAAAATAAATTGAACAAAACGTGTGAATAATATTGTTTTCTGATAAAATTGTACATGCACATTGGATTTTTATCCGTTGATTTGCATAAAATGTAGAGTTAAAATTTGAACTGCATCAAATGGTCGTTGGAGTCAAACCAAAAGGTCACTCGAATGAAAAATAATTATTGTGCTTATCAAAATATATCGATGGGAGTTATCTTGTAATTACCAGATCATCAGATTGTTTTTCATTTGATTTACACTGATGGTCTTCCGTAGCCATTGGCCTTAAACTATGTATGGGACATAAGTTAATCAATTTATGAAAAAATATATTCTTTTTCAGCTGTCCTGGGCAGATCTTGCCGTATTTGACATGATGGATCATATAATGGCGTTTAAACTCAATGTTTTAGATAATCACCCATAAATAGCAGCCATCTTTAAATTAGTGCCGTCATTACCTGGACTTTCTGAATATCTGAAAAATCGTCCAATGACGTCATCTTAGAGTGACAATCAGTCAATACAAGCCATAAATGTGTTTTTGAATATGTATATTAATATATAAACAGCTTTAGCTCTGGTAATTGCATTCCCGGTTCTTGATTACTGCAAACTATGGAAACCCGTTGCAGCCTGTTTGCAATCTTAACTTCTCACTCTGTCAACATATTGCGATTGTTGTCTAGTTAACCGAATCAAAGCGCTGTGTTTTAAATGTGTTTTATATACATATTCCATTTCGCTATAGAATATGTCGACATAGCGCATATTGATATATCGACATGTTTGTACTACAGCAACATAGAATATGTTGAAAAAGCGTCAAAATAGAAATAATATTAACGTGCACATATAAAACGATATGATGACATACAAAATAGCGCGTTGATTTAATTAACTAGACAAATATTGTCTTTTCAGGGGTCCAGTCATGACAATATGTTGACATATTACCTTATTAATATCGCGGTATCTATATGTTTCCATTTTAACTAGAGTAGTCGTTCGGATGGGACGAAAAACCGAGGTCCTGTGTATATATTGGCGTGACGTAAAAGATCCCTTGGCAGTTGGAATTCGATATAGCACACTGTATGGCTTATGTATGCCCGTCTTCATTAGCCCAGTTTGGGAGCAGAACATTCAGCGTTGGACGTGTCATGGCGGTCCGTGATCCGAAAAAAAAAAAAATATTTGACTAAATCAATGAACACATTTTGACATAGTACTTATGTTTTAGTATCCTGGTATTGTATAATGCATTTTCTAGAATGTATACGCTTGGACGAGAAAAAATGAACGAGGTTAAATGAATAACATCCACTTGTACCCGTAACTATAAAATTATGCACGACTGAAAGAAAACATACTTTTATTTATGTTTTATGTGCCTCCTCATATGTACATTATAATTAATAATTTTAAAATTAAAATTGTAATAAACAACAACTTTAGCAAGTTTTCGTGGCTATATAGATTTATGTTTGAAGAAGCTCAATAAATTCTGTTTGTGAATTCGGTACTGTATTTATGCTCAAAATAATATTGACTAGAAATAATAATATTGACTAGAAAGTGTCAAGTGAATACTCCAGAGGTATTTCCAACATTTTATGCATGTTTATTTACATTTAAAAAAGTGATAAACTGAAGGTATCGACATTTTATAAATATCGCGATATAGTGATTGTATCGCGATATTTTAAACAAAAATATCGCGATATTTGTTTCCAGGGATATCGCCCAGCTCTATCCCGCACCTCAACTTCTCGCTTCCGGCTCCCCTACTTCTCGCTGTGAGAATTCGAGATTATAAAATGGTCACACCAGTCTTCCATAGAACCACAGTAAACAAACCATATTTTGGAAGGCTACCAATTTAAGAATTATAGTTTTTAAAACGTCTAGTCAAACTGATTTAATTGTTGTTGGCATGCAGCCAAAATTTCTAGTTGCTTAGAAACACAGTTCCACCATATATGGCCCTCTTAGATAAACCAACTATACATTTTTGGAAAGCTTATAACACCGGGAACACAAAGTCCCAAGAAAATTGTTTAAAATATACACGATGTTGTGTTTATAATGAAATTTATTTTATGAGAGTCATTGTTTTTATTGAATTTGTATTAAATATTTGTTTATGTCAACCTCTTCGCATCTGCATTGATAAGAGGGAGAGAAATGGGGTTTAACGTCCACTCGACACAAACTAGGTCATTTCGGGACTAACATATGGTTTTTAATTTTATTTCAATACTTCGCTTGGGCGTAGGGGTCTTTAGCAGTGGGAGGAAACCGGAGGACCCGGAGAAAACCCACGAGGTTGGACAGGCGACCCTACTCCTTGTCACGTACAACCGGGGATTCGAAACCACGCCAGTCGACTCAATGACAGACTTTATGATACAGCGCGCGCACGCTAACCATTCAGCAATCCTACAAACCCCCCCCCCCCCCTGCATTGATAAAGAACATAAGCTGATTAAAATACGTTTTGATTTTCCTGGGGACTGCATTGGCTCAGTGAGACGCTGGGTCACTAGCATACTGCTCCTCGTGATCTTCCGGTGAGGCCTCCCCATGTCAGGGGTGAAGGACACGGGAAGGGGGGGGGGCACGGAAAAGTTTTCAGATGGGATGAAATGTTTTCAAGGAAAGCGGCGCCACTGCCAACGCTTATTAGTGAAATATTTCACCTTAATTCTCCCCTTTTGTTGTTGGTGCCTTTAAAACTTGTTAAAGTCCTTCGAAGTGTCTCAAACACTGATTGCACTACCATGGCATAAGCTAGCAAGGCAGTTATAGCTACAAACTGGCCCCGGTGTGTCAAGTCATCTGGGAACAAATTAACTCAGCAGATGGGAAATACAGAGTAGATTGGATAAAGTATTCACGGAATTTTCATGATAATTTTCAAATTTTAAGAAATCGTATTTGCTACAGTTGTTCCAAACGACGCCATCATAACCAAATAAGATCAAATTCTGCAGAGTTCATGTTGGAAAAGTGCTTTGTTGTATTTATATTAGGGCTAACAGGAACGACTTTTCTATTGGAAAATGAGCCTGTTGAACACGCCCCTATATTTCAATTTAATTTCATTTTCATGTCGTAAGAGTTTGTAGTTTTATTGTTCTAAATTAAGAAATATCGAAAGTGATCATATTCTGGTATTTTACTTTCTATCGCATCTTCGGTTACCGGTAACTACGTAACTACGACGAAATCAGGGAATAAAAATATAAAAAACAAATTATTAAGTTTACATTTTGTATTTTATTAAGGAAATATCATATTTATTTTGTTTTAAACATGCTAGGGAAGATCTAACGTCATTATGAAAATTATGACTGCTCGTTCATTAAGTAATTGTAATACCAAATCCCATATCAGATTATCCATTAGAACTGGTTGATTACGTAAAGATCGTTAGATTTATTCTATCCATTATTTTAATAACCAAAGACATATACTTATATGTTATTTATTTAAGTTCTAATTATAATATCATAAGAATTTTCCGTACAGAATCACAGGTTTGGGTTTCTTAATGTTTATATCGAATTCTATAACATCACAAATACATAATATGGTATTCATTATACAATACAACAGTTACATACAGTTCTATAGCAACACTAATATACAATTTATTATACAGTACAATAGTTAAATTATATATGTTTATATAGACTTTCACAGCCGCACTAATACATAAGTCATTATACAGTACCAATCTCGTGGGTTTTCTCCGGGTTCTCCGGTTTTCCCCCACTGCTAAAGGCCTCTACGCGCAAGCGAATTATTGAAATACAATTTAACCATATGACCTAGTTGTACAACTGTATCTTATAATGTTTATGTAGACTGTTATAGCAACACTAATGTATCATAAACTATATCCACACATTAAACGTAAGTCCGTACCCATGGCTACAGTGATTTTCTGACACCATTTCCACATTGGTAACAATTAATTGCAGGCTCCTATAAACGTCGTTGACAGTACCGTAGCTTTGTTCTTAGCAGACATTATACAGAGATATATTAAATCCCAGATCTGAACAATGGACTAATAAAATTTATCACCCAATAATACATTCTACAGTAGATATCGCTTGTGTGATATATATCATAATCCGTTATTCTGTTCTTGGTCCGATAGCCTTGACTGAATTTGTTGATAAGTATTTCATGTTTAGGCTAATAAGCAATTTTATCACCCAATAATACATTCTACAGTAGATATCGCTTGTGTGATATATTTAAAATCTACTGCGATACCTCCTTAGGAGATGAAATGATCGGTCAGTTGTAAAGGAACTACTTTTTTTATTTTCAAAGGACAGTTCATTTCTTATTAAAAGTAACTTTTATTTTTATCAAAAATGAACTATTGTTATTCAATTGACCTTGATGGAAACACTGGGTCAATATAAAGGACTTTGCACTGGTGGAATTGCTGTCAAAAAATGATGTATCACTACGCCGTAATGTTCAGTAGAAGTGAAATCTACAGCAAAGAATTATATTTATCTATTTGTGCATGTAAGAAGGGATTGAGTGATAAATAAAATCTCCTACTCGTCTTTTTGATATCAAAAAATATCAACACTCGTTGATAAAGTAAAAAAAAACTGGTAGGAGATTCTCTATATACTACACCTTTGTAAAAGGTTTACATAACTTCAGTTGGGTATGAATGACAAGAATTGTTTGTCCCATTACAAGACCTATTACACGACCATTGTTATGTAAAAAAGGAACAAAATAGCGATTAAAGTAAAGACAACACGATATTATGATCATTTTGACATATGACTTAAACCTAGCTTATACCGCGCCGTACACGTTTTGACACGCACGGGTCGTAGGGATTGGTAGCTCTCCGACAAGCTGCAAGAAAACAGGTGACAATGTTGAATGTGCAGGTCTGCAGGACCAACAATCTCTACGGCTAGCAAGTACGACGGGCAGTGAGATAGGCTTTACATACGGTGATTTTGTTTTCTGTGGCAGGGAGAAAGATTTACCTCAGATTATTTTCCAATTGTCATGGTGTTTTGTTAATGTTCACATCGGGAATGGAACACGGTAATTATAACCTCGAGATTATTGCCCCTACTCCTCGTCAAGAGCTGCCAACAATCATGCTATTAAAGGAGCCACATCGCTATTCTTTGGCACCTAGAAATGGACACGAATGGGTTGCAACGCATATAATAATGTAATATGAATACTGTGACACTACGGGCGACAGGCGTGACTATCCTGGTCGCAGATTCCAATAATAGAGGACAGTGACGCTACTGTCAAATAGGAACTAACTTTGACTTCACGTTGTGTATAAGATCAATTAACTCTGGAACACTTTGTTGGTTTAGCTATGTTTTTATATCTTTATAACATCCATAATACAACGGTTATATACAGGAAACTACATACACAGCTATGACATTAAATATAAGCTAAATATAAGTTCTCTATACCCTAGCTGTTCTTTTGCGGTGGTGTTCCCTAGCC